AGGGGACACCAGAAATGGGCTCAACACATTGTGCCCATGTGGGGAATCGAACCCGGGTCTTCGGCGTGACGAGCCAACGCTTTAACCACTAGGCTACCCCACCGCCCCGGCAAAATGAGAGTGACGATACAGTGAAACAGTTGTTGAAATACAATGTATTTCTGCTGTTCCTCGCCGTGATATTGCTGGAACAATGCTAAAAGCAGCAAAAAACCGCACTCAGGAATCCCAGATAATGTTAGCAAATACAATTTGTGAAACCTTGTAAAGCTACTCAATATTGAAATGACCATCAATATATCATGTGTCTTTAAATGTAGTTCGAGACAAGAGAAGTTCTCACAATTACCCGCCGTTCAATCGATATCTTTCGTAGCGACAACAACCTTACATTGTATTATGCATATGTGATCACATTACTATCTTGTCTTTGATAATACGAGGTTTCAAAACTGTGTACTTGACCTTCAAAACTAAATAGCTGTCACAGAGACTAATTCAGGACAGCCATCGTCCAAACATTTCCAGAGACCAAAAACTATGTAGCCAAGCCATGTGAGACGTTATTGTAATTATATATATGACGCTAATCTTCATTCTTTATCCAACCCGTGAAGGTCCGGGTTAGAATATTGGCCTTCAGTAACCCATGCTTGTCGTAAGAGGCGACTAACGGGATCGGGTGGTCAGACTCGCTGACTTGGTTGAAACATGTCATCGGTTCCCAATTGCGTAGATCGATGCTCATGCTGTTGATCACTGGATTGTCTGGTTCAGAATCGATTATTTACAGACCGTCGCCATGTAGCTGGAATATTGCTGAGTGCGGCGTAAAACTAAACTCACTCACTTACTCATTCTTAATCCCGATCAACCAGAATTATGCATTGGCTTGTCAGTCAACCATTACTACTCGGTCACTTTCATCAGTGACTGTGTATGACATTTATAGCCTTAATTGGTCATCCCCTTGGCCGTGCCTGTCATCACAACTGGCCCAAGGAAGTGCTATCGTTTTTTTCCCTGTCCATTGTTTACTCTTCGTCTGTCAATTGTTTACTCTTCGTCTGTCCATTGTTGTCTATAATCATATATATATGTTCATATCTATATTGTCACCAGTCCGGTATTCCGACTGCTTCTGTAGGGACACCCGCGAGTAGGATAATGCCCCTCGAAGGAAACGCCCTGGGGTTGAGCAGAAACTCCGCTCACCTCATTTATGTCTGAGTCTGCAACCCAGCTCATTGCTATCCTGTTTGGATATAATATATTGTATAGCCAACTAAAGAGGTTTGGACTATTTTGTCTTAGTTAACGTATAATCAGAGCTGCAGACAACTCTTTGGGTCATTGAGTTACGTACTTGCTTGTGCTCATCTCAATTGGGTATCCTAATTTTCCTTTGAGTAACCAAATAAATTGTACCAACCTCACTCAAACTCAATTGGGTATTTTGTCATTTTCCATTAATTGTTAAACTATAATAAAGTTTAAATGTTAGTGTTTGTTATATATATTTGTCTGTAATATGAGAAACAATAAGAAAGACTGCAAGTTGCCAAGTTCATGTCCTGAAACAGAACCTCTCAATATACCTCAGTTATTGTAGCTATCCACCGGTACGCATGCCAAGATTTGACATTTTTGTGTGTACGCATGTAACATCACATCTTTTGAGTATTTACAAAAATTCAAGCGTACTTGTACGCAATAGACTTAATAGGAATTGAGTTTTTCACATAAATATTTGCATAATTTACACAGATACGCAGCTTGTCTGTACCACTGCTCTCAATATACCTCAGTTATTTTATCTGTCCACCGGTACGCAAGCCAAGATTTGACACTTTTGTGTGTACGCATGTAACATCACATCTATTGAGTATTTACAAAAAAATCAAGCGTACTTGTACGCAATATACTTAATAGGAATTGAGTTTTCACATAAATATTTGCGTAATTTACGCAGATACGCAGCTTATCTGTACCTCTGTATAATTCCTTAATACAAATCTGAGTTAGTTCCACTGTCGACGACATATAGGCGTTGACATAGCCAATGCTGATCAAGGCAATAGAGTTTGCCTACAGCAGGGTAAAGTTCACATCTATACGAGATGTGAGTCCTTACTGGACGCCACCATCACAAAGAATCCTCCACTCGTTTCTTCAACAACACAAACAATAGTATATGAAAATACTGAGAGTGTATTATACGGACACGCCAAGCACGATTTGTATAAACATAAATACATATTTAGAATAAGCATGGACATGATATACATAAAGTTTATATTTAATATGATATAAACTATATACAGCATACAAGCAGCTCAGTAGTATTCGTTACACCACTGTACTGAGACTTAGTATCGCAGTGTGGGGCGGTGGGGTAGCCTAGTGGTTAAAGCGTTGGCTCGTCACGCCGAAGACTCGGGTTCGATTCCCCACATGGGCACAATGTGTTAAGCCCATTTCTGGTGTCCCCCGCCGTGATATTGCTGGAATATTGCTAAAAGCGGCGTAAAACTAAACTCAGTCAGTCAGTCAGTCAGTATCGCAGTGTAACGAATAATACTGAGCCAAAGTTAACTTGGACTGAATAAACAAGTTACATAGAATATAAGAAACAAACAGGATTTGTTTTATAAAGTTACATCGCTTCAGCTTCGTTCTGTATGCATGCATACAATGCCTTTAAGCGTGTGTGCATGAATGCATTCGTGCGATAGGGTCCTTGTTGTGCGAGTATAATAATATCAATAAATACATGTACATGTATATACAAAACCACGGTTAGGGACACTCAGCTATAGTCCAAATGCATGGCGGCGGTCTGTAGAAAACCGAGTCTGGACCAGACAATCCAGTGATCAACAGCATGAGCATCGATCTGAGCAAATGGGAACCGATGAGATCTGTCAACCAAGTCAGCGAGCCTGGCCATCTGATCCCGTTAGTCGCCTCTTGTGATAAGCACGGGTTGGTGAAGATCAATTCTAACCCGGATCTTCACTGGTACCGTGGCTCAAGTAGTATGGACACCACTTATGCAGCACCATGCCCCAAGAGGAGATTGCAATGCCATATATCGTTGGTATCGTATCGCAATATACAAACATAAGTTCCATTTGTTAAACATAATTGGTGGTGGGGTAGCCTAGTGGTTAAAGTGTCCGCTTGTCATGCTGAAGAACCGGATTCGATTCCCAACATGGGCACAATGTGTGAAGCCCATTTCTGGTGTCCATCCTAGAATGTATGTGATACACCATGTATAGTAGCTAGAATGTATGTGATACACCATGTATAGTAGCTAGAATGTATGTGATACACCATGTATAGTAGCTAGAATGTATGTGATACACCATGTATAGTACCTAGAATGTATGTGATACACCATGTATAGTACCTAGAATGTATGTGATACACCATGTATAGTACCTAGAATGTATGTGATACACCATGTATAGTACCTAGAATGTATGTGATACACCATGTATAGTACCTAGAATGTATGTGATACAATGTGTTAGTACCTAGAATGTATGTGATACACCATGTATAGTACCTAGAAGTATGTATACACCATGTATGTTTAGTAGCTAGAACCATGTGATACACCATGTATACCTAGAATGTATGTGATACACCATGTATAGTACCTAGAATGTATGTGATGTATGTGATACACCATGTATAGTAGTACCTAGAATGTATGTGATACACCATGTATAGTACCTAGAATGTATGTGATACACCATGTATAGTACCTAGAATGTATGTGATACACCATGTATAGTACCTAGAATGTATGTGATACACCATGTATAGTACCTAGAATGTATGTGATACACCATGTATGTGATACACCTAGAATGTATGTGATACACCATGTATAGATACCTAGAATGTATGTGATACACCATGTATAGTACCTAGATGTATGTGATACACCATGTATAGTACCTAGAATGTATGTGATACACCATGTATAGTACCTAGAATGTATGTGATACACCATGTACCTAGAATGTATGTGATATAGTACCTAGAATGTATGTGATACACCATGTATGTACCTAGAATGTATGTGATACACCCTAGAATGTATGTGATACACCATGTATAGTAACCTATGTATGTGATACACCATGTATAGTACCTAGAATGTATGTGATACACCATGTATAGTACCTAGAATGTATGTGATACACCATGTATAGTACCTAGAATACACCATGTATAGAATGTATGTGATACACCCTAGTACCTAGAATGTATGTGATACACCATGTATAGTACCTAGAATGTATGTGATACACCATGTATAGTACCTAGAATGTATGTGATACACCATGTATAGTAGCTAGAATGTATGTGATACACCATGTATAGTACCTAGAATGTATGTGATACACCATGTATAGTACCTAGAATGTATGTGATACACCATGTTTAGCACCTAAAATGTATGCCATACACCGTGCAGAGGTACAGATAACCTGCGTATCTGCGTAAATTACGCAAATATTTATGTGAAAACCCAATTCCTATTAAGATTATTGCGTACGAGTATGCTTGAAATTTTGTAAATACTCAACAGATGTGATGCTACATGCGTACACACAAAAGTGTAAAATCTTGGCTTGCGTACCGGTGGATAGATAAAATAACTGAGGTATACCGAGAGGTTCTGTTTCAGGACATGAACTTGGCAATTTGCAGTCTCTCTTATCGTTTCTCATATTACAGATGAAATATAAATAACAAACACTAACGTTTAAATTTTATTATATTTTAACAATTAATGGAAAATGACAAAATACCCAATTGAGTTTGAGTGAGGTTGGTACAATTTATTTGGTTACTTAAAAGAAAATTAGGATACCCAATTGACATGACCACAAGCGAGTACATAACTCAATGACCCAGAACGTTATCTGTAGCCCTGACCGTGTATAGTACCTAGAATGTATGTGATACACTTGGGCTACTTACAGTTCATTACTGCAGAACCACGGCTGTTGGAGGCGTCGTCCATACTGCAGATAGCGCGCAATGTCCCAAACTTCCACCCCTGGGTAGGGCGTGGCACCACGTGTCAGCATCTCCCACAGAACCACCCCCAGGGACCACTGCAAGGGAACATTTGTGAATTGATGAACGCCATTGCTGTGATGCAGATGCCAGATACTGGTGCCTCCTGGTATACCCAAGTGAGTGAGTGACTTCAGTTTTACGCCACACTCAGCAATATTCCAGCTATATGGCGGCGGTCTGTAAATAATCGAGTCTCGATCAGACAGTCCTGTGATTAATAGCATGAACAGCGATCTACCCAAATCGTGTACGATGACCTGTGTCAACCAAGCCAGCGAGCCTGACCACCCGATCCCGTTAGTCGCCCCTTACGACAAGCATGGGTTGAAGACCAAATGTAACCCGGACCTTCACGGGTACCATGGCTCAAGTAGCATGACCATCACTTATGACATGTGTCAGCTAAGCTAGCGAGCCAGGGTTCGAATTGGTTTTCAGCAATAAATACTTGTTGTAAGATGTGACTAACGGGATCGGGTGGTCAGCCTCGCTGACTTGGTTGCCACATGTCATCGTATCCCATTTGCGTAGATCGGGGCTCATGTTGTTGATCACTGGATTTGTCTGGTCCAGACTATTTCCAGATCGCCGTCATACAGCTGGAATATTGATGACTGCGGCGTAAAACAGACAAACAAAAATTGCGTGTGTTCCTTACATATATTACCTGTATTACATCAGAGGTTAGTGAAATATCAGTTGAATAGTGACAATTGAAGAATGTATTTTTAAACTAGAGTAAACCCACATGGTCTGAATAACAATTGCCTACGCATAAATATTGTTTCTAAACACAGTCTATATGACGTCATGTTTGTTCCGCCGCTGACTGTGATGTCATAACGTTTGTAAATGCAAAGTCAAATGTCCACAGTGACCAATCTGGGCAGCGAGGCCACAGAGGTCTGTACAAATAAGGAAACTCTCTATATTGTCAGATGCCTGTTTGTCGACACATAATAACAGCGTCCAGTACCTACGATGTCAGACATGGAGTTGCCTCTCTATATTGTCACAATCAGAGACTAGTTTGTCCACACCTGGTCTCACAGGACATGGAGTTGCCTCTCTATATTGTCGCAATCAGAGACCAGTTTGTCCACACCTGGTCTCACAGGACATGGAGTTGCCTCTCTATATTGTCACAATCAGAGACTAGTTTGTCCACACCTGGTCTAACAGGACATGGAGTTGCCTCTCTATAATGTCATAATCAGAGACCAGTTTGTTCATACTTGGTCTCACAGAACATGGAGTTGCCTCTCTATACGTGCTAATCAGAAACTAGTTTGTCCACACCTGGTCTCACAGGACATGGAGTTGCCTCTCTATATTGTCATAATCAGAGACTAGTTTGTCCACGATTGGTCTCACAGGACATGGAGTTGCCTCTCTATATTGTAAGAATCAGAGACTAGTTTGTCCAGACTTGGTCTCACAGGACATGGAGTTACCTCTCTATATTGTCACAATCAGAGACTAGTTTGTCCACACTTGGTCTCACAGGACATGGAGTTGCCTCTCTCAAACGTGCTAATCAGAAACCTCTCTATACTGCCCTAATCAGAAACTAATTTGTCTACACCTTGTCTCACAGTTGACTCTATATTGTCCATATCAGTACCCTGTTTGTGACTCAAAATAACAGCGGCCAGTACCTACCACGTCAGACTTGGAGCTGTAGCTTCCTCTCTCCATGCTCTCTGGCGCCATCCAGCGGATTGGCAGCTTCTTCTTGTTGTCGCTGGTGTAGTAACCTTTCTCGTAGATGTCTCTGCACAATCCAAAGTCTGCCACCTTCACGCGCAGGTTGTCATCAAGCCTGGGGGATATAGGGCGATACAAACCTTCTATGATACATAGGTAACCTGATGCACAGGTTATATACTCTTAACGACTAGGGGAGTGTGTTTAGATTTAAGACGCTTTTATCAATATTCGAGCAATATCACGGCGGGGAACACCAGATTGAGTGAGTATGGTTTTACGCCGCTTTTAGCAATATTCCAGCAATTTCACGGCTGGGGACACAAGAAATGGGCTTCACTCATTGTACACATGTGGGGAATCGAACCTTGGTCTTCAGCGTGACGAGCGGACGCTCTAACCACTGGGCTACCCCACTGCTCCTATTATTAACGAAAAGTAGGGGATATTCAATAAAATGGTGTCACAACTTTTGATAATTAATACTTTTAATCATATCGTTATACAATGTACCAGTGAGGGAGTTCATATGTGATACCTACGTTATACAATGTATCAGTGAGGGAGTTCATATGTGATACCTACGTTATACAATGGAATAGTGAGGGAGTTCATATGTGATACCTACGTTATACAATGTATCAGTGAGGAAGTTCATATGTGATACAACGGTCTACAATATAATAGTGAGGCATTTGATATGTTATGATAATACATTATCATTTAATGTTAATGTAATGTGATACCTACTTCATGCTGGATGACACATGTCATCGTATTCCAGTTGCGTAGATTGATACTCATGATGTTGATCACTGGATTGTCTGGTCCAGTCTCGATAATTAACAGCCCTCGGACATATAGCTGGACTATTGGAGTTCGTTGTTAAACAACAAATAGAGTCCCAACAAAAATACTGTTTGATGAGTCCGAGTTATAGATACATGATAGACTTGCGTTTCTTTTGCTGTTCAGTATAGATTGCATTGTCTTTCTGATATTGGCGTATTTTAAAGCAACTCACATACAATTCCTGGCCGCCAAGTCCCTATGAACCAGTTTAAGAGATGACAGGTAGTTCATGCCCTCGGCAATATCCACACCCCATCTCAGGATGTCGAACACCCGCACCTCCTGCAAGGACAATAAGGCACTTAGGTTAAAAACATCATGAAATTAACAAAGGTACAGAGAAGCTGCGTATCTGCGTAAATTACGCAAATATTTATGCGAAAACTCAATTCCTATTAAGTCTATTGCGTACAAGTATGCTTGAAATTTTGTAAATACACAATAGATGTGATGTTACACGCGTACACACAAAAGTGTCAAATCTTAGCTTGCGTACCGGTGGAGAAACACAATAACTGAGGTATTGAGAGGTTCTATTTCAGGACATGAACTTGGCAACTTGCAGTCTCTGTTATCGTTTCTCATTACAGATCAAATATAAATAACAAACACTAACATTTAAACTTTATTATCTTTTAACAATTAATGGAAATGACAAAATACCCAATTGAGTTTGAGTGAGGTTGGTACAATTTATTTGGTTACTCAAAGGAAAATTAGGATACCCAATTGACATGACCACAAGCGAGTACATAACTCAATGACCCAAAACGTTATCTGTAGCTCTGTGAAACACTTCCGATGTTGATCATGACAAACTACCTACGCTATGGGGATATACATATATAGTGTTCAACAGTCGTAAGATATTTGGAGTTACACTTTCTCAGTAAAATACAGGTCCTATTACTTTAGGTCTACACTCGTAATCACAAGAGGACCTGTTTGTCCATACTCGTCTGAATATCAAGGGGACCTGTTGGTCTAACCTCGTCTTGGTATCAAGGGGTCTAACCTTGTCTTGGTATCAAGGGGACCTGCTGGTCTATCCTCGTCTTGGTATCAAGAGGACCTGTTGGTCTAACCTCGTCTTGGTATCAAGGGGACCTGTTGGTCTCACCTCGTCTTCGTATCAAGGGGGCCTGTTGGTAACCTCGTCTTGGTATCAAGGGGACCTGTTGGTCTAACCTCGTCTTGGTATCAAGGGGACCTGTTGGTCTAACCTCGTCTTGGTATCAAGGGGTCTAACCTCGTCTTGGTATCAAGGGGACCTGTTGGTCTAACCTCGTCTTGGTATCAAGGGAACCTGTTGGTAACCTCGTCTTGGTATCAAGGGGACCTGTTGGTCTAACCTCGTCTTGGTATCAAGGGGACCTGTTGGTCTAACCTCGTCTTGGTATCAAGGGGACCTGTTGGTAACCTCGTCTTGGTATCAAGGGATCTGTTGGTCTAACCTCGTCTTGGTATCAAGGGGCACTGTTGGTCTAACCTCGTCTTGGTATCAAGGGCACCTGTTAGTATGCACTCGTCTTGGTATCAAGGGGGCCTGTTGGTATACACTCGTCTTAATCTCACAAGGCCTAGTCAGTCTTTCCATCTTGATATAATGAGGCTACATTGGACAACACAGTTTTAATGTCATTAGACCCAATTGAGACACGCAGCAAGTCTTAACATCAAGAGGCCCAGTTGCCCTACTCTCGTAATACCAAGAGGCCCAGTTGCCCTGCACTCGTAATACCAAGAGGTCCAGTTGTCACACCCGTAATACCAAGAGGCCCAGTTGCCCTACTCTCGTAATACCAAGAGGCCCAGTTGCCCTGCACTCGTAATACCAAGAGGTCCAGTTGTCACACCCGTAATACCAAGAGGCCCAGTTGCCCTACTCTCGTAATACCAAGAGGCCCAGTTGCCCTGCACTCGTAATACCAAGAGGCCCAGTTGTCATACACCAGTAATACCAAGAGGCCCAGTTGCCCTACTCTCGTAATACCAAGAGGCCCAGTTGCCCTGCACTCGTAATACCATGAGGCCCAGTTGTCATACACTCGTAATACCAAGAGGCCCGGTTGTCCTTCACTCGTAATACCAAGATGCCCGGTTGGTTTACACTCGTAATACCAAAATGTCCAGTTGTCATAAACACTTGTAATACCAAGAGGCCTGGTTGCCCTACACCCGTAATACCATGAGGCCCAGTTGCCCTACTCTCGTAATATCAAGAGGCCCAGTTGCCCTACTCTCGTAATACCAAGAGGCCCGGTTGTCATACACTCGTAATACCAAGAGGCCCAGTTGCCCTGCACCCGTTATACCAAGAGGCCCAGTTGCCGTACTCTCGTAATATCAAGAGGCCCAGTCAGCCTCTCCATCTTGATATAATTAGGCTACGTTGGTCCTCACAGTCTTGATGTTATAAGGCCCAGATGAGACACGCTGCACGGCAACCATATAAAGTGGACGTGATTGAGTAACACTTATTAAAGAACAGGAACATACTTTGTCTGTGAAAAGTCCTTCAATAATTCGATTATTGACCTTACCTTCTCGTCTTTTGAGACGAACGACATGAGATCCCCATTGGCCATGAAGGGGAGAATCACCATGGGCTGTTGACTTTGGTTCACAGAGATCCCCAACAGCCTCAGGACATTCTCATGGTCAAAGCCCTTCATGACCAGTGCTTCCTCCACAAAGCTAGCAAGATCCATATTCTGGCTGTTATCTGGAATACATATGTGGCTTTATCATGGCAGTTATCAAGACTCCCAACTAACAGGATATGTCATCTTCCGTAAGCTAGAAGGACAGATTATGTTTTTCAACTTGTTTGTGGAACAAATGATCAAAATCAAACTGATCAACATGACTACCATCATGAGCCATCAGCGTGTCATGACTACAGTACTGACTGCAACTGCAGAGGTCGTAGAGGAAGCATCCTCGATTATCTCCAGGATACACGTTCGGTAAATCTGGATGCATCTACGTCTCGGCCCTATGATTTTATTACCTCCCTTGGCTGGCTTTTTATCCAATCAGGTGTCTACGCTGGGAAGTTGGGCGTACCAATCACAACTCACTTTCGCTTCTTTTATCTAACCGATTAAGCTTGGCAACAGAATTGTTGCAGAGGTACTCTGAAAGTGGTAGAAAGAGTTCTTGCATATATTTTAAGGTTTCAGACCTGTCAATTTGTCTGTATGATTTCCCCCAAAATCTGAGTCGAACTGCGAACAAACTTTCGAGGCTGCGACCGCTATCTTTGTTGACACTTGCAACACTTGGTTGTAACGGCGGCTTAGCTGATTGGCTGCTGTGAGAATGCGGAGCCAGCAAAGGGAGGTAATACAATTATCGGGCCGAGCCATAAATGCATCCAGGATACTAGTGAAGATTTATCGCAACGTATACCCTGGAGATTGTTAAGGATGTATAGGAAGATGTGGCATGACAATCTGTTTCGGGCTAAAAGAGTTGAAATTTCTTCAGGATAATGTATGAAGAATATTACACATCTATTTGGGGCGTCGGGGGTAGACCAGTTCGATCGACACGCTGAAAACCCGGGTTCGACTTCCTATATGAATACAATGTGTGAAGCCAATTTCTGGCGTCCGCTGTGATATTGCTGGTATATTGCTAAAAGCGGTGTAAAACCAAAACCCACTCACTCACTCACTCAGTCACTCACTCATGCACTCGGTGATTAGTGTAAATAGACAGAGGTACTACATATTAGATTTGGTTAGCCTAGTGGTTAAGCGTCCGCTCGTCACGCTGAAGGGCCGGGTTCAATTCACCACATGGGTACAATGTGAGAAACCCATTTGTCGTGTACCCCGCAGTCATATTCCTGGAAAATTGTTAAAAGCGACGTAAAACCAAATCTCACTCACTCATACAAGAGTTATTAAAGAAGAGTAAGAAGAACCGGCCTCACCCTGCATTGTTTTGATAGCGACTTTCTCACCCCCATCTTCATGATCATCTTCTGCGTACAACAAACCTTCGTACACACACCCGAAGTTGCCTGCAATGACAGAAGTCAAATTTTTATAGATACACCTTCTATCATTCCGTTGGCATACTAGATTATATCTGCTTTCATAACCTGATGCGTTCTCTTCCCACAGAGGTTACTTGTCATATCTTCCTACCAACCTCTGTTCTAATACGGCCAAATTTCTCGGTTCTCGTAAAATCCCCTAGCGGCAAAAGATCGCAACACGAATTATCTCCCTTCTTTCTATCCAATCAGAACACGCGTTACAGAGACTTAGATTCAACTTGACTAACACAAGCAAATGTGGGGCCACAAATATTCCCCATCTGCCGGGGAATTGTGTTGATGTTACACACAAGACGTTTAATGGCTACCTTGTCCGTTGTCAACGAGGGCGATGGAGACGCCACTGATCCGCCATAACATGACTGAGTTCTGTCTAGAAGAAACGTTTGCGTATCGCGCAGGGGAAGAAGTTTAGTTTTTCTCGAAGCATACGGAAATTACCGAGGCCTTGCGATTGATCACTTTTGAAACAACGTCGCTGATTGCACAACTAAATCTGATTACCTCCAATCACGAGTCTGGAATGCTCACACCATGAAAGGGCCGTATTAGAACAGAGGTTACGTAGGAAGATATGACAGGAGTAACCTCTGCGGGAAGAGAATGAACCTGATGAGACCCGTGAATATCCGGGTTATCATTGATCTTCACCAACCCATGCTTGTCGTAAGAGGCAACTCACGGCAATGGGTGGTCAGGCTCGCTGACTTGGTTGACACATGTCATCGTTTCCCAATTGCGCAGATCGATGCTCATGCTGTTGATCACTGGTATGTCTGGTCCAGACTCGATTATTTACAGACCGCCGCCATATAGCTGGAATATTGCTGATTGCGGCGTAAAACAAAACTCACTCACTCGCTCATGAACTGAAGAATAAACAAACTCGATTAAATAAATCTTTGATAAAAATGTCTGGTGGTTGTTTTGTCATTCCTCCACCTGTGTCCTGATGGATTTGCATTATGCCACTTAAAATCACACTAAATACAGATGGAAGCAGAAAGTTAGCACTACCTGAACCTATCGTAGCTCGAAGTTGCAGCCTTGAAAAGGGCACGATGACCTTGTTCTGCTCAATACGTTGCATCAGTTCCGGTGACAGTGTCTCCTTGACCCTGGGTTCCAGCAGGAAGTAGGTATTCAGTACTCTGTCTTGAACAAAACAAGTACATTTACTAATGGCAGAAAGTAACTGTAACATAAAATTGTATAAAACAAAAGTTATAAAAGTTATGAAAATAACCCGAAATAAGCATGTAGCAAAGCACTTTGCATGAAATTTGCCTCTGAATGCTGTCGAATTTCGACCTTAACTGCGCGCACGTCATGCCACATTCTCTTCCCACAGAGGTTACTCCTGTCATATCTTCCTACGTAACCTCTGTTCTAATACGGCCCTTTCATGGTGTGAGCATTCCAGACTCGTGATTGGAGGTAATCAGATTTAGTTGTGCAATCAGCGACGTTGTTTCAAAAGTGATCAATCGCAAGGCCTCGGTAATTTCCGTATGCTTCGAGAAAAACTAAACTTCTTCCCCTGCGCGATGCGCAAACATTTCTTCTAGACAGAACTCAGTCATGTTATGGCGGATCAGTGGCGTCTCCATCGCCCTCGTTGACAACGGACAAGGTAGCCATTAAACGTCTTGTGTGTAACATCAACACAATTCCCCGGCAGATGGGGAATATTTGTGGCCCCACATTTGCTTGTGTTAGTCAAGTTGAATCTAAGTCGATGTAACACGTGTTCTGATTGGATAGAAAGAAGGGAGATAATTCGTGTTGCGATCTTTTGCCGCTAGGGGATTTTACGAGAACCGAGAAATTTGGCCGTATTAGAACAGAGGTTGGTAGGAAGATATGACAAGTAACCTCTGTGGGAAGAGAATGGTCATGCCACGGCTTGCAGAAAATCAGCGCCTCCGGGCCGGGAGTATGCTGGAGACTGGATTGGCCAAAAATGAAGTGGACAGAATATTGGTGTCCATCGAAACATGATCTCATCTCTACGGAGACATTTTCAACATAATGGGCACACGAGAGATTTGCCTTGGACCGGCCATTCACGCGTGATATCACATCAGCAAGACAACCACATTCGACTTCCTCATCTAAGGAATATAATCGATTCCAGACTGCTAGTTTGACTGCTCGGACCATTTCTGACTTACATCCAATCAGTTCCAGGACTGTACGGAACCGACTAACGGAGCACAACATCCGGTTTGCAATACGTTCAGTGTTGCTCTAACGTCACCGACAGGCACGTCTTGCCCGGTACAGACAGCATCTACGGTACAGGATTCAAGATTGGGATAGTGTTTTGTTCACTGACGAGTCGAGATTTATTCTGGATAGCTCAGATGGCAGGGCAAGGGTGTACTGACGGCGAGGTGAACGGTATGCAGACGCGTGCGTTCTTCAACGTCGACAGTTTTGTGGCGATAACGTTATGGTATGGGGACCATCAAATCTCATGGTCGGACACAACTTGTCATTGGCATTGACAATCTGACAGGTCTGCGATAAAGGGATGAGATCATTGGGCCTCACGTGTAGCCGTTCATACAAAGACAGAGACGTAACTTCACGCTTCAGCAAGATAATGCCCGTCCACATGTCGATCGTGTTGTGACAGATTTCCCGAGACAGCAGATCATTCCGGCACTCTCCTGGCCAACTGTTCCTCAGGACCTGTTCCCTATCGAACACGCTTGGGATGATCTGGAGAGACGTTCACTTCAAGCCGAGAACCAACCATTGACGTAGCTGAATTGAGACGAGCGTTGGCCCAGACATGGAACAACATTCCCAAGCTTTCTTCAATCGCTTAGTGTCGTCTGTGCGTCGTCATTGTCAAGACTGCATCAACGCCAATGGTGGACACACATGATACTGAATTTGTGAATTGACTTTTGACAACACATCTATTCAAGGGCGTGTCACGATGAGTATTGTCAAACCATACAGGTTTCGATATCATCCCACCAACACTTAAACAGCGGTTAAGGAAAACACCACAAATCATGTTATTATCGTTTTACATTAATTGGCATAACATCAAATAATGCACAGTTACTAATGCCAGTGGTATTACAGTTATAAAAAGCAAAGACGCCTGTCAGAGTATATCTATTATACTTTATATGTCAATACATTACTTGTGGTCGAGAATTTAGGCAAAGCGATGCATGTTTACCGACGCATCTTCCGACACGTCTTTTGACACGTCACATCTACCGACACGTTTACAGAAACGTCGTCCGACACGTCACGACTACCAACACGTCTTTTGGCACGTCATGTCATCTTTTGAAACCTGTGCCGAACGTCTTCTGACACGTCATGTCTCCCTCAGAGTCTTCTGACACGTCAGTCTTTCTAAAAGTCTTCTAAGACTTTACGTCTACTGACACGTCTTTTGACACGTCTTCTGACACGTCACGTCTACCGACACGTCTTCTGACACGTCTGTCTTTCTAAAAGTCTTCTAAGACTTTACGTCTACCGACATGTCTTCTGACACGTCAGTCTTTCTAAAAGTCTTCTAAGACTTTACGTCTACCGACACGTCGTTTGACACGTCACGTCTACCGACACGTCTTCTGACACGTCAATCTTTCTTAAAGTCTTCCAAGACTTTACGTCTACAGACACGTCTTTTGACATGTCTTCTGACACGTCACGTCTACCCACACGTCTTCTATCACGTCACGTCTACCGACACGTCTTGTGACAAGCACGGCTACCGACACGTTTACCGAAACGTCGTCTTCCGACGACGCTAAGACATTATAGAGTTTCAGTTGTTTCTTGAGTAATATTTGAATGAGTGATTGGTTTCTAGCGTCACTTTGAATAGTATTTATATGATATCATAGCACGAAAGCCCGAAGTAACGCAGGTCTTTGACCCAAAACATTGATTCTAGTATAAAACTGACAATCACAGGGACATGAAGGGGACACGCCTTAAATGGTGAGGTGAGGTGAGGTGAGGTGAGGTGAGGTGAAATGGGGTTTAACGTCGATGCAATTCACTATTTTGACTTATGCCATACGTTCCCGAATTATTTCAGGTAAACAAATGTCAATACTAAGTTTATGAAGTCTGTCACGTCGCATCTACCCAAACATCTTCCGTCACGTCACATCTACCGAAACGTCTTCTGTCACGTCACATTTACCGAAGCGTCTTCTGTCACGTCACATCTACCGAAACGTCTTCTGTCAGTCACATTTACCGAAACGTCTTCTGTCACGTCGCATCTGCCGAAACGTCTTCCGACACGTCACGTCTTTACACGTCTTTACACCTTTACCTCGGATATCTTTGAAAGCAGCGTTGCAACTCGATACAATGTGTCAATCGCTCAAGTTAAATAAATAATTCTTACCATCTGCTGTAGTTGATGTCAACTCTGATTGCAGACGAGAATGCAGAGCAGACTTGTACTCCTTGACACAGACGGCTGCTCCGGCGACAACAATGATGATAATGATAGCGAGTGTTACCACGCTCCCGATGATAACGTCGTGATTAGATGGCGGCCCGTGAATTACAAACACAACATAGCCTGCATCCAGGGTAAGATTTCTGCCTACTTTAACCTGGAATGTACAGAATGAAAGAATGAAAAACACACACGCTCTTTTGTTGTTTCACTCCTCACTCAGCAATGTATACTGATGTACAAAAGAAACTGCACACCTGCTGTTTTGAGACTATTAAAAACAACGTAAATATTTGGCTTGCAATGTTCCAATTGGGTACGATATCTATGGTATTATTGCAACACGAACACAATGTTTGTGACTTGTGAGTCGCAATCAAAACACTTTTCTAAATATTACGCTGTTTTGGGGAAAACATTTTACCAAAGCATCAGGTGTGTTCTTTCTTTTGTACGTCAGATTACATGGAGACGGTGTGTATATAATCGAATCTGGACCAGACAACCCAATGATCAACATCATGAGCAGTATACGATGACATGTGTCAACCAAGTCAGCGAACCCGAACACCCGATCCCGTAAGACATGGGTTGCTTACAACCAATTCTAGCCCGGATCTTCACGAGTCGACACACATGTAGATATGATGTTTCTGTCTCCACATGAATACGTCATTATAGGGGGCGGTGGGGTAGCCTAGTGGTTAAAACGTTCGCTCGTCACACCGACCCGGTTTCGATTCCCCACATGGGCACAATGCGTGAAGCCCATTTCGGGTGTCCCCCGTAGTGATATTGCTGGAATATTGCTAGCAGCGGCATAAAACTAAGCTCTCTCACTTACTCTGTTAAATCAAACACAAGTGTATTCTTAGCTACAAGCAGGAGCTGGTGTCTTTCCAGTCTGTTTCCTCTTCCCCCGTTACTGATCGTCAATGGTCATCTGTTGACTCACTTATTTACATGTTCGGGGATTGTGTAAAATACTGCAATGGTCTTATACTGTACCGTGATATTCTGTCGCGTCTTTTCTCGAACCGTCCAATCTGGCATACAAGAGATCAGCGTGCCATTGAAATGAACATCAGTACAGTTGCTGCGGCCAATTTCGACTCGAACATCTGTTTCGTTGACGCCATCGAGCTTAGCCTGATCAAAATTGCCACATTACAAAAAATGCTTCCTAGTAAAATAACAATATCAACTAGCCTTGATTAAAAAGCCTAAATTTTACAAACTCTCTCATATTATTCACATTGGTTGTAAAAAGATTGAATCCAGAGAGTGTATATGTGGAATAGTAGCGATCTAGTTTATATTGTCCATATCACACATATCAGTATGTTTATCTAGTTTAGTGTATATTGTGCATATCACACATATCAGTATGTTTATTCAGTGTATATTGTCAACATCACACATATAAGTATGTTTCTCCAGTATATATTGTCCATATCACACATATCAGTATGTTTATTCATTGTACATTGTCCATATCACACATATCAGTATGTTTATCCACTGTATATGTGTTGTACTGTCATACAGAACCCACACTAGTATGTTTATCTAGTGTATATTGTCCATATCACACATATCAGTATGTTTATCTAGTTTAGTGTATATTGTGCATATCACACATATCAGTATGTTTATCCGGTGTATATTGTCGATATCACACATATCAGTATGTTTATCTAGTTTAGTGTATATTGTCGATATCACACATATCAGTATGTTTATACAGTGTATATTGTCCATATCACACATATAAGTATGTTTCTCCAGTATATATTGTCCATATCACACATATCAGTATGTTTATCTAGTGTATATTGTCGATATCACACATATCAATATGTTTATGCACTGTATATGTGTTGTACTGTCATACAGAGCCCACACTAGTATGTTTATCTAGTGTATATTGTCCATATCACACATATCTGTATGTTTATCTAGTTTAGTGTATATCGTGCATATTACACATATCAGTATGTTTATTCAGTGTATATTGTCCATATCACACATATCAGTATGTTTATCTAGTTTAGTGTATATTGTGCATGTCACACATATCAGTATGTTTATGCAGTGTATATTGTCCATATCACACATATCACACATATCAGTATGTTTATTCAGTCTACTATGTTTTGCGAAATCCATTACAGCGACAGTTAAGTATGATTCTTTATGCTACTATCAGTCGTCATTTTAAGATTCACGTAGATTTCTGTCTTCAAACTTGATATGGTAACAACTCAGGGGCGAGCGTGGCTAGACTGAATGACTGACAGGTTTATTCGCGGTGTATAAAAATGTTTTGCGCGAAAAGTGCGAAAATAAAACCTGCGCGGAATATAATAATATTTACAGTATATTGTCCATATCACACATATCAGTATGTTTATCTAGTGTATATTGTCCATATCAGAGATATCAGTATGTTTATCTAGTTTAGTGTATACTGTCCATATCACACATATCAGTATGTTTATCCAGTGTATATTGTGCATATCACACATATCAGTATGTTTATTTAGTTTAGTGTATTTTGTGCATATCACACACATATCAGTATGTATATCCAGTGTATATTGTCCATATCACACATATCAGTATGTTTATCTAGTCCATATTGTCCATATCACACATATCAGTATGTTTATCTAGTGTATATTGTCCATATCACACATATCTGTATGTTTATCTAGTGTATATTGTCCATATCACACATACTGATATGTTTATTCAGTGTACATTCTTCATATCAGACATATCGGTAGCTATGTTCATCTAGACTATATTGTCCATATCACACATATCAGTATGTTTATTTAGTTTAGTGTATTTTGTGCATATCACACATATCAGTATGTTTATCTAGTGTATATTGTCCATATCACACATATCAGTATGTTTATTTAGTTTAGTGTATTTTGTGCATATCACACATATCAGTATGTATATCCAGTGTATATTGTCCATATCACACATACATACTTAGTTTAGTGTATACTGTCCATATCACACATATCAGTATGTATATCCAGTGTATATTGTCCATATCACACATATCAGTATGTTTATTTAGTTAAGTGTATTTTGTGCATATCACACATATCAGTATGTATATCCAGTGTATATTGTCCATATCACACATATCAGTATGTTTATCTAGTGTATATTGTCCATATCACACATATCAGTATGTTTATCTAGTGTATATTGTCCATATCACACATATCAGTATGTTTATCTAGTGTATATTGTCCATATCACACATACTGATATGTTTATTCAGTGTACATTCTTCATATCAGACATATCGGTAGCTATGTTCATCTAGACTATATTGTCCATATCACACATATTGATAGCTATGTTTATCCAGTGTATATTGTCCATGTCACGCATATTGGTAACTATGTATATCGTAGTGTGTATTGTCCATATAAGACATATTGGTATGTTTATCTAGTGTGCATTGTCAATATACCACATACTGGTATGTTTATCTAGAGTACATGGTCCATATCCCACATATTGGTATGTTTAACTAGCGTATATTCTCTATATCATACTTACATGAATGTTTAATTTACTTCCTTGGAAGAGCTTACCCCCCAGTGTTGGTAAAACTGGGTCTGGATAAATGGTGAAGTTGAAATCACGTGTCACCGCGTCCATTATAACACGGAGGGTGCCTGTTGTTTCATTTTGCTTTTCCAGTGGGAAGAATGGCGTCTCACAAAGGACTTTACCAGTAGTTCCATTTGTGGCACAGTTCTAAAACAAACACACCCTAATCTATATCTGTGTAGGGAGCGATATGTTACATAGTGACACACATATCTATACAGACAGTGACAGCTAAGCTCAGAATTACACAATGAAACATATGTACATACACAGTTAGAGATGAATACATGGTAACATACTGACACACACATATGTATATACACAGTTAGAGATGAACACATGGCTTCATACTGACACAGACATGTATATACACTGTGACAGATGAACACATGGTAACATGCAGACACATATGTATATACACAGTCACAGAAGAACACATGGTTACATACTGACACACATATGTATATACACAGCGACAGATGAACACATGGTTACATACTGATACACATATGTATGCACTAAGCGACAGATGAACACATGGTTACATACTGACACACATATGTATATACAGAGTGACAGGTGAACACATGGTTACATACTGACACACATATGTATATACACAGTGACAGGTGAACACATGGTTATATACTGACACATGCATGTATATACACAGTGACAGATGAACACATGGTTTCATACTGACACACATATGTATATACACAGTGACAGGTGAACACATGGTTATATACTGACACATGTATGTATATACACAGTGACAGATGAACACATGGTTACATACTGACACACATATGTATATACACAGAGACAGATGAACACATGGTTTCATACTGACACACATATGTATATACACAGTGACAGGTGAACACATGGTTATATACTGACACGTGTATGTATATACACAGTGACAGATGAACACGTGGTTATATACTGACACACATATGTATATACACAGTGACAGGTGAACACAAAGTTTCATACTGACACATTTATGTATATACACAGTGACAGGTGAACACATGATTTTATACTGACACACATATGTATATACACTGTGACAGGTGAACACATGGTTACATACTGACACAAATATGTATATACACAGTGACAGGTGAACACAAAGTTTCATACTGACACATTTATGTATATACACAGTGACAGGTGAACACATGATTTTATACTGACACACATATGTATATACACTGTGACAGGTGAACACATGGTTACATACTGACACAAATATGTATATACACAGTGACAGATGAACACATGGTTACATACTGTCACACATATGTATATACACAGTGACAGGTGAACACATGGTTACATACTGACACACATATGTATTTACACAGTGACATGTGAACACATGGTTTCATACTGACACACATATGTATATACACAAGGACAGGTGAACACATGGTTACATACTGACACAAATATGTATATACACAGTGACAGATGAACACATGGTTACATACTGACACATATATGTATATACACTGTGGCAGATGAACACATGGTTACATACTGACACACATATGTATATACTCAGTGACTGATGAACACATGGTTACATACTAACACACATATGTATATACACAGTGACAGATGAACAGATGGTTACATACTGACACACATATGTATATACACAGTGACAGATGAACACATGGTTACATACTGTAACACATATGTATATACACAGTGACAGGTGAACACATGGTTACATACTGACACACATATGTATTTACACAGTGACATGTGAACACATGGTTTCATACTGACACACATATGTATATACACAAGGACAGGTGAACACATGGTTACATACTGACACAAATATGTATATACACAGTGACAGATGAACACATGGTTACATACTGACACATATATGTATATACACTGTGGCAGATGAACACATGGTTACATACTGACACACATATGTATATACTCAGTGACTGATGAACACATGGTTACATACTAACACACATATGTATATACACAGTGACAGATGAACAGATGGTTACATACTGACACACATATGTATATACACAGTGACAGATGAACACATGGTTACTTACTGACACACATATGTATATACACAGTGACAGGTGATCACATACTCTGACACATATGTATATACACAGTAACAGGTGAAGACATGATTACATGCTGACACACATATGGACATACAGAGTGACAGATGAACACATGGTTACATACTGACACACATATGTATATACACTGTGGCAGATGAACACATGGTTACATACTGACACACATATGTATATACACGGTGACATATGAACACATGGTTATATACTGACACACATATGTATATACACAGTGACAGATGAACAGATGGTTATATACTGACACAGATATGTATATACACAGTGACAGATGAACACATGGTTACATACTGACACACATATGTATATACACATTGACAGATGAACAACTGGTTACTTACTGACACAGATATGTATATACACAGTGACAGATGAACACATGGTTATATACTGACACACATATGTATATCCACAGTGGCAGATGAACAAATGGTTATATACTGACACACATACGTATATACACCGTGACAGATGAACACATGGCTACATACTGGGATACATATGTATATACACTGTGGCAGATGAAGACATGGTTACATACTGACACACATATGTATATACACTGTGACAGATGAACACATGGTTACATACTGGCATACATATGTATATACACTGAGGCAGATGAACACATGGTTACTTACTGACACACATATGTAAACGGATAGATGACAGATGATTCCATTGCCACACTCACACACACACACACACACACACACACACACACACACGCACATACACACACACACACACCATGCGTGCACGCACTCACCGAGTTGTATAGAAACTCACTCACGCACCTACTTCTGCACACGCAGACTCGCACAAACATGAGTACAATAAAATGACATTACTTACCCCATTTTCTGTCTTGTTCAGTACAGTTATTGCAATCCGCGGCTGTTGTATCACGTCAAAGTTTTTCCCAACGACTGTGATTGTAAGGCCCCCACTGCAAAGCATACTGTAGTTATCAACCAAAGTCCTTGCTACGACCCAGACAACAAATATGGTATCATCGTCAATACCACAAGAGACGAGGGAGACCTACCCCTAGTCTAAAATACCACTGATATATTGGTGTAAACACGGCCAGATATATTCATTCTGACATCTAACCCTTTTATTTATACATTTAGACTTCTTACATAAACATATTATAATGGATAGGTTAAGAAGCACATATGCATGTGAGTGAGTTTAGTTTTATGCCGCACACAGCAATATTTCAGCTATATGGCGGCGGTCTGTAAATATTCGAGTTCTGGATCAGGCAATCCAGTGATCAGCAGCATAAGCATTGATTTGCGCAATTGGGATCCGATGACGTGTCAACCAAGTCAGTGAGCCTGACCATCCGATCCAGTCAGTACATATGCATGTAAGGATTCCATTAAAAATGGAATGTTTTGCGCTGTGCTCCTGGAATTGTTTTTTCGATGGGCAGTCAGACTGATTGTTCACCCGATTTAGAACTCTGTCTCTGAAAGAGTGCACATACGCACACACGCACGCATACAGTTTCTCCTCTCCTCTTCCTTCCAAAAACCTTTAATAACCAACATGGGATGGTGGAGTCACGCCGAAAACCCGGGTTCGATTCCCCAAATGGGTACAATATGTGAAGCCCATTTGTGATGTCCCCAGCCGTGATATTGCTGGAATATGCTAAACACGGCTTTAAACCAAAGTCACTCACTCAATTTATATCTATTTCAATACACTGGGTGCATGCATTCATGACACATTGAATAGCGTGGAATAACGAATCTTTAATCTCAGATGTCAAGTAAAAGTATATGCATAAGTGTCGATATTGTGATATGAATATACATACCTTTGTATGGATGATTTCGGGAAGACATCTGCGATGTTTGGGTCTGGCTTGATTGTAAAATTTCCAAGTGTACAGTCAGGAAACTCGACCTTCGTGACAACACCTGTTTGGACATTCGTATTGTCACCGCAATTTAATTTCTCTACTTTACATTGCATTGTGGTGGAACTGAAATGAAAATGTGGATATGAATAGTCCTCGATGTTTGTCACAACAGAATCATTTCCGAATCATATATTGTATTAGTCAAATAGAGTCATTCACAGGTTACACAGCAGGTTACACAGCAGGTTACACAGCAGGTTATACAGCAGGTTACACAGCTGGTTACACAGCAGGTTACACAGCAGGTTACACAGCAGGTTATACAGCTGGTTACACAGCAGGTTACACAGCTGGTTACACAGCAGATTATACAGCTGGTTACACAGCAGGTTACACAGCAGGTTACACAGCAGGTTATACAGCAGGTTATACAGCAGATTATACAGCAGGTTACACAGCAGGTTACACAGCAGGTTACACAGCAGGTTACACAGCAGGTTATACAGCAGATTACACAGCAGGTTACACAGCAGGTTACACAGCAGGTTATACAGCAGGTTACACAGCAGGTTATACAGCAGGTTACACAGCAGGTTACACAGCTGGTTACACAGCAGGTTATACAGCAGGTTATACAGCTGGTTATACAGCAGGTTACACAGCAGGTTACACAGCAGGTTATACAGCAGGTTACACAGCAGGTTATACAGCTGGTTATACAGCTGGTTATACAGCAGGTTACACAGCTTTTACTGCTGCTGAGAGATCCTGAAAGATCGGCACTTTTCTGGCATTTCGCCTACGACTATAAAGCGGTTTTACCTATTGTTCTCTAGCTTATTACACTTGCTGCAAGCTACTTTTATTTGCTCATATCGACTGTCTGTGGTATTGAAGCCGCATCCCTCGAACGTGATGACTGTTCCCCCAGATTTCGGGCCCTTCTGTGGATACCATGTCTGAAAGGAGACGGAGACAGCTAGCACCAGTAGACGTTTACTTGTACGTCATTCAAATCAGGAAGGGAAATAGATTTGTATGTTCAGTCATAAACATTTTGATGTATTCACGTTTTACAGACCATTGTGTTGTCTGGGTTATTATACGTCGTCACATCTTCTGTTCATGCCCCGGCTTCTTCTACTCCGATGAAGCTAAAGGAAAATGTGAAGCCAGACTGTGATGTACGGAATGCAGAATGAAGCGTGTAATTATCGACCCGTCTTAGATGTTAGTGTGTGAAGATCTTAAGCTCCATCTGGGTACCTAGACTTTACACGTGTTAGATGTTGGTGGGTACAGATCTTAGGCTCCGTCTGAGTACCTAGACTTTACTCGTGTTAGATGTTGGTGGGTGCAGATCTTAAGCTTTGTTTGAGTACCTGGACTTTACACGTGTTGTTTACGCATGCCTCTCGGAACATACAACCTTTGCACCAACCACAACGAAGAGTACGACTACATTCCTCACAGCGTTTGCCTTCACAGATGTCGACCTCCTTCATCTGGAAGTACAGTGACACAATTTACAGTCAGTATATCATGACCAACGTTACTATTTACCATGTGCTGGAGTAGCCTAGTGGTTAAAGCGTTCGGTCGTCACGCCAAAGACCCGGGTTCGATACCTTACATGGGTCCATTGTGTGAAGCCCATTTCTGGTGTCCCCCGCCGTGATATTGCAGGAATATTGATAAAAGCGGGATAAAACTAAGCTCACTCACTCACTCTTTTATAACATAACCCCAAGTGTTTTCTTATGTACAAGAAGGAGCTGATGTCATTGCGGTTTCTCGTCTATTGCTGGAAAAATGTGAGGACACAATGACTCTCTTAATATTCAGTCGTTCCCATACTTGTTAAAATACATATCTACATACATATGATGAAACAAAAACACTACTCGCCTTGGTGTCAAAGAGACGCAGGGAGTCTTTCCTGTCTCGGACGACGATAGAATGTGGCGGGAAACTGTCACTGACGTCGCCGCTTAACGTAAGGTTGCCATCACTTGCATTCTATGAAAATACATTAATGAAGAAGTGTTTGTTGTCATGAAAAGCTTAATGGTGTGAATCTAAAAATGTTAAGAAGTATGAAATGACGTTTGTTTATTGGGTATACTTCATTAGGTGTTGAAATCTTTGCCAATATGATACCGTGTTTCTGTATAAAGGTTCTCTGAATAAGAAGTCGTCTTTTCATCACTACTTTTTAAGCATACTATAAAAATACTTAACTAGTGTCAATCGAGGTCATAACCTTACTTTCAGAGACATCGACACTACCACACACAGATCGACAAGGACTTCACTCACACTACCACAAACAGGTCGACAAGGACTTCACTTACACTTCCACAAACAGGTCGACAATGACTTCATTCACACTACCACAAACAGGTCAACAAGAACTTCACTTACACTTCCACAAACAGGTCGACAAGGACTTCACTCACACTACCACAAACAGGTCGACAAGGACTTCACTCACACTACTACAAACAGGTCGACAATGACTTCACTCACACTACCACAAACAGGTCGACAAGGACTTCACTTACACTTCCACAAACAGGTCGACAATGACTTCATTCACACTACCACAAACAGGTCAACAAGAACTTCACTTACACTTCCACAAACAGGTCGAAAAGGACTTCACTCACACTACCACAAACAGGTCGACAAGGACTTCACTCACACTACTACAAACAGGTCGACAATGACTTCACTCACACTACTACAAACAGGTCGACAAGGACTTCATTCACACTACCATAAATAGGTCGACAAGGACTTCACTCACACTACCACAAACAGGTCGACAAGGACTTCATTCACACTACTACAAACAGGTCGACAAGGACTTCACTCACACTACCATAAATAGGTCGACAAGGACTTCACTCACACTACCACAAACAGGTCGACAAGGACTTCACTCACACTACCACAAACAGGTCGGCAATGACTTCACTCACACTACTACAAACAGGTCGACAAGGTCTTCCCTCACACTACTACAAACAGGTCCACAAGGACTTCCCTCACACTACTACAAACAGGTCGACAAGGACTTCACTCACACAACCACAAACAAGTCGACAAGGACTTCATTCACACTGCCACAAACAGGTCGACCATGACTTCACTCACATTACCACAAACAGGTCGACAAGGACTTCACTCACACAACCACAAACAGGTCGACAAGAACTTCGCTCACACTACCACAAACAGGTCGACAAGAAGGTCGATCGTGTGGCAGACATCCATGCTACCACAAACAGGTCGACAAGGACTTTACGCATGCTACCACAAACAGGTCGACAAGGACTTCACTCACACTACCACAAATAGGTCGACAAGAAAGTCGCTCGTGTGACAGACAGACCACAAACAGGTCGACAAGGACTTCACTCACACTACTACAAACTGGTGGACAAGGACTTCACTCACACTACCACAAACAGGTCGACAAGGACTTCACTCACACTACCATTAACAGGTCGACAATGACTTCATCCACACTACTACAAACAGGTCGAAAAGGACTTCACTCACACTACTACAAACAGGTTGACAAGGACTTCACTCACACTACCACAAACAGGTCGACAAGAAAGTCATTCGTGCACATTTGGTCGACCAGAGCAAAATAGACAAGACAACCGCACCCACCTCCACCATATAAAACCACACAACAGGTCACTAGACCATATCCAGTCGGAAGAGCGTCTTACCGTAAATTGCAGTAGATCTCCATCGGAAGTGGCAACGATGACCTTTCCGTCTTCACTCGACAGAACTGTGGCGATTACAGTGGTTTTGTTTCTGTAGACCGAGTTGAATTTTTCCGGTGGTAGCTTGTTAAGGAGATTATCGTGTTCCTGTATTTTGCATGCACCTTGAGATTGTCCCGGTTGGCACATTGATTGCTTTGCTTCACCATCAACCTTTTTCCAAACATAATAATGTGAACATTGTTGAGAGTATGTGTGGTGTATTACATAAGATGTATACGATACTGGGTGAGGTGAGGTGAAATTGGGTTTAACGTCGTGCTTGAAAATATTTCGCTCATATGACGACGTGAATGCGTGTGTTTGTGTAGGTGCGTCTGCTTGTACTAGTCCAAACTTCAGTTTTATAGTGCTAGCCCACTGAGATACCATGCCGCAGTGAAGCATGAATACCCCACTCAGACAAATTATACTGACTCCGAGCCAACCAGTCCTTGTTGTACCCATTAATGTTGAGCGCCAGGCAGGGCCCAACAAGTACCATATTTTAACGTCTTTTGGTATGACGCGGTCGGGGATCGAACCCGCGACCTTCCGCTCTCCGGGCGGACGCTCTAACTACTACACCACGGAGGCGGTCGTATACGATACTGGAGGTCGGTGGGGTATCCTAGTGGTTAAGGCGCCGCTCGTCACGCCGAAGACCCGGGCTCGATTCCCCAATTGGTACAATGTGCGAAGCCAGTTTCTGGTGTTACCCCGCGATCATATTGCTGAAATATTGCTGAAAGCGACGTAAAACCAAGCTCACTCACTCACGATACAAGAGGTATGCTGCAAAGCATCAAACACACTATCAATCTCTTTCCGTTCTAGCAAAATTCGATGGAAATAGTCAGCAGAAATCTTTATTGTACGATTACAACGATATCATAGTTACGATTAAATATTGATGATGCCAAGTGTTGATAATAAGGTGAGCGTACAGACACACCGCACTGATATATTACAGGGAGTGAGTGAGTTTAGTTTTACGCCGCACGCAGCAATATTCCAACTATATGACGGCGGTCTGTAAATAATCGAGGCTGGATCAGACAATCCAGTGATCAACAACATAAGCATCGATCTACGCATTTGAGATACGTTAATATGTGTCAACCAAGTCAGCGAGCCTGACCACCCGATCCCGTTAGTTGCCTCTTACGACAAGCACGGGTGGCTGAAAACAAATTCTAACCTTGATTTTCACAGGTTTGGGAAGCTTAATCTCTGTTGTTGATGGGCAAATATCTGCGTTACTTACTGCCATTGTCACTGCTCTTTTTTGTGATACTGGCGCTGTAATTCCTTTGTAATTTGTATTGATGTGCAAACATTGTACAGTACAACTGTTATTTGCTAAACGTTTTAACAGTTCAGGTAGCTGTTGCCAATGACACACACCACAGGTATCGTGGACCTACATGAAACATGGTTACGGAGGGGGATGTGTTATCTGTTATCAGTTATCTATTGACATTTACTGATAATCGTCAAATACTTGTATTTCCCGAACAATCGTAAAAGGTCACATTTGGCCATGGCGTAGGCTTTTAAAATTATTCAAAATCAACCATTTATGAGGGAGATTATGCAAAATGTACATCATTAAGAAGTTAACGCAACAATGTTGCCAACATATTTCTCAATAGGAAGCACACACTCCACGCGGAGTTACACGGCACTTGCCAAAGGACAGGACAGGCGACGCTCCAGCTTCACTTCGACTCAATAATAATCATGGATCATGTAGCATTCCTCACTTATTTTGGGTCACCCATGAAGGCCCGGGTTAGATTTTATCTTCAGCAATCCATGCTTGTCGTAAGAGGCGACTTACGGGATCGGGTGGTCAGGCTCGCTGACCTGGTTGACACATGTCATCGTATCCCGATTGCGTAGATCGATGCTTATGTTGTCGATCACTGGATTGTCTGGTCCAGCCTCGATTATTTACAGACCGCCGCCATATAGTTTGAATCGAAACTCATTCACTCACTCATTCTTATTTTGGGTCATGTTGGGAAAAAATATTACTTCTGACGAAAACGTATGAGAACTATAGTAGATATAGATACTGAACATAGGTATCACAGCTGATTCAATTTTTTTCGAAATTTGAAGTTTTGAAAGTTTACAGGCGCGCTTTTTTCACTCAAGGCATAAGCTTGATCTTACAGAAATATGTCACCAACGGTTCTGGATACTTTACAAATATTGTGTATTTTATCTGTTGAACAACATGGCTGTCTTCATTCAGAACCGGGGTCGTGGGGTAGCCTGGTGGTTAAAGTGTTCGCTCGTCACGCCGAAGACCTGGGTTCGATTCCCCAAATGGAAATAATGTATGAAGCCCAATTCTCGTGTCCGCCGCCGTGATGTTTCTGGATTACTCCTCAAAGCGGCGTAAAACTTAACTCACTCACTCACTCTAGGAGGACAATGGTGTTTAATCACTGAAATAGTCAGTTTGAGGATTTGTTGAAATCCTTGTAAACGAGCCTTAATTTATCAAAATGTATAATTGAAGGGACACGATAATTTGGGCAATGATTTGGGTCTGTTTCTGGTGTTCCCCGCCTTGATATTCCTGGGATATAGCGAAAAGCGGTGTAATACCATACACCATATCTCTCACATGGGTATTGGCTAAACAATTTGTATTTTGTACCGACCTCAACCAGGAAGAACTGAAAGGACATTCCTATATGAAATCATGCCTTTCTGTTGCACAATACTATAAGGTAAAAATGCATCTTCTGAACAATGAAGGTATAATAAACTCCTTATTGAGAACTGCGATTATTTCGTGGTAGAAAGGATGCTATGACTGCTTGGTAATAAATCAAGAGATATAGAGCATAATGGTAGTTATAAAGCTATACCAATAGATGTATGCAACATTATCAAATAATGATTGATACCGGTGTAAGAATCTACACTGAAACGTCGATCTGGCAATAAACAAGAAACTGCTATCCATGAAGTCGTAAAGCTTGACAACAGTGCAAGAAATGTCTACAGCGTAATGTCGCTCTATGGAATAAACAAGAAGTTGTTATCCATAAGGTCGTACAGCTCAAAAACGCTGTAAGAATCTACATCGAAACGTCGCTCTATGCAACAAACAAAAAGTTGTTATCCATTAAGTGGAATGCTTCCTAATTGACCCACCAACTAGAATGCCGTTCAAACAATTGTCCAAAGTCCATCTGTCCATCTGTAATGTTGTCATGTTTCTGAGCAAGCAGCATTATGTCGACACTTCAGGCATGATCGGGTCTATACTTTTATTACACATTGATTTAGTTTCTTCTTTGAGTGGAATATTAAAAGTTGCGAAGTAAAATATTGACAATCTTTATGGAATTTTTTGGGGGGTATGTCGTGAGTGCAACGTTTCGATACAGATTTTTCAACCATTCATGTTTCACAACGGAACAAGAATTTGACTGACTGACTGAGTTTGGTTTTACGCCGCTTTTAGCAATATTCCAGCAATATCACGGCGGGGGACACCAGAAATGGGCTTCACTCATTGTACCCATGTGGGGATTCGAACCCGGGTCTTCGGCGTGACGAGCCAACACTTTAACCACTAGACTACCCTACCGCCCCGAACAAGAATTTGAAGCTTCGTAATCACGCAATCTGTTATCTTTAAAGTTAGTCACTGTTGATCTTATTGAGTTCAGTGAGACTAGAATCATGTCACTGTTATCACCACGACCCGCAACATGTCAGTGTTATCACCACGACCCGCAACATGACAGTGCTATCACCACGACCCGCAACATGTCAGTGTTATCACCACGACCCACAACATGTCAGTGTTATCACCACGACCCGCAACATGTCAGTGTAATCACCCTGACCCGCAACATGTCAGTGTTATCACCACAACCGGAACATGTCAGTATTATCAATACGGCTCCCAACACATCAGTGTTATCACCAAGACTCCCAAGAAGTAAGTGTTATCACCACGACCCGCAACATGTCAGTGTTAACACCTCGACACGCAACATGTCAGTGTTATCACCACGACTCCCTACAAGTAAATGTTATCACCACGACCCGCAACATGTCAGTGATATCAATCCGGCTCCCAACACATCAATGTTATCACCAAGACTCCCAACAAGTCAGTGTTATCACCACGACCCGCAACATGTCAGTGTTATCAATGCGGTTCTCAACAGATCAGTGTTATCACCAAGACTCCCTACAAGTAAATGTTATCACCACGACCCGCAACATGTCAGTGTTATCACTGCGGCTCCCAACACATCAGTGTTATCACCAAGACTCCAAACAAGTAAGTGTTATCACCACGACCCGCAACATGTCAGTGTAATCACCCCGACCAACAACATGTCAGTGTTATCACCACGACCCGCAACATGTCAGTGTTATCACTGCACCTCCCAGCACATCAGTGTTATCACCAAGACTCCCAAGAAGTAAGTGTTATCACCACGACCCGCAACATGTCAGTGTTATCACCCCGACCCGTAACATGTCAGTGTTATCAATGTAGCTCCCAACACATCAGTGTTATCACCAAGACTCCCAAGAAGTAAGTGTTATCACCACGACCCGCGACATGTCAGTGTTATCACCCCGACCCGCAACATGTCAGTGTTATCACCCCGACCCGCAACATGTCAGTGTAATCACCCTAACCCGCAACATGGCAGTGTTATCACCACGACCCGCAACATGTCAGTGTAATCACCCTGACCCGCAACATGTCAGTGTTATCACCACGACCCGCAACATGTTAGTGTTATTACTGCGGCCCCCAACACATCAGTGTTACCACCAAGACTCCCAACAAGTAAGTGTTATCACCACGACCCGCAACATGTCAGTGTTATCACCACGACCCACAACATGCCAGTGTTATCACCACGATCCAAAAAGTCAGTGTTATCACCACGATCCGCAACATGTCAGTGTTATCACCACGACCCGCAACATGTCAGTGTTATCACCACGACCCGCAACATGTCAGTGTAATCACCCTGACCCGCAACATGTCAGTGTTATCACCACGACCCGCAACATGTTAGTGTTATTACTGCGGCTCCCAACACATCAGTGTTATCACCAAGACTCCCAACAAGTAAGTGTTATCACCACGACCCGCAACATGTCAGTGTTATCACCACGACCCGCAACATGCCAGTGTTATCACCACGATCCAAAAAGTCAGTGTTATCACCACGATCCGCAACATGTCAGTGTTATCACCACGACCCGACACATGTCAGTGTCATCACCCCGACTCCCTACAGGTAAATGTTATCACCACGACCCGCAACATGTCAGTGTTATCATCACGGTCCGCAACATGTCAGTGTTATCACCACGATCCGCAACATGTCAGTGTTATCACCACGACCCGCAACATGTCAGTGTTATCACCACGACACCCAACAAGTAAGTGTTATCACCACGACCCGCAACATGTCAGTGTTATCACCTAGATCCGCAACATGTCAGTGTTATCACCTCGACCCACAACAAGTAAGTGTTATCACCTGGACCCGCAACATGTCAGCGTTATCACCACGACCCGCAACATGTCAGTGTTATCACCACGACCCGCAACATGTCAATGTTACCACCAGAACCCGCAACATGTCAGTGTTATCACCACGACCCGCAACATGTCAGTGTTATCACCACAACCCGCAACATGTCAGTGTTATCACCACAACCTGCAACATGTCAGTGTTATCACCAATGCTCCCAACAAGTAAGTGTTATCACCACGACCCGCAACATGTCAGTGTTATCACCACGACCCGCAACATGTCAGTGTTATCACCACGACCCGCAACATGGCAGTGTTATCACCACAACTCCTTACAAGTAAATGTTATCACCACGACCCGCAACATGTCAGTGTTATCACCACGACTCCCTACAAGTAAATGCGGCTCCCAACACATCAGTGTTATCCCCAAGACTCCCTACAAGTAAGTGTTATCACCACGACCCACAACATGCCAGTGTTATCACCACGATCCAACATGTCAGAGTTAACACCACGACTCGCAACATGTCAGTGTTATCACCACCACCCGCAACATGTCTGTGTGATCACCACGACCCGCAACATGTCAGTGTTATCACGACGACCCGCAACATGTCAGTGTTATCACTGCGGCTCCCAACACATCAGTGTTATCACCACGACTCCATGCAAGGAAGTGTTATCACCACGACCCGCATCATGTGAGTGCTACCACCACGATCCAACATGTCAGTGTTATCACAACGACCCGCAACATGTCAGTGTTATCACCTAGATCCGCAACATGTCAGTGTTATCACCTCGACTCACAACAAGTAAGTGTTATCACCTGGACCCGCAACATGTCAGCGTTATCACCACGACCCGCAACATGTCAGTGTTACCACCAGAACCCGCAACATGTCATTGTTATCACCACGACCCGCAACATGTCAGTGTTACCACCACAACCCGCAACATGTCAGTGTTATCACCACAACCTGCAACATGTCAGTGTTATCACCAATGCTCCCAACAAGTAAGTGTTATCACCACGACCCGCAACATGTCAGTGTTATCACCACGACCCGCAACATGGCAGTGTTATCACCACGACCCGCAACATGGCAGTGTTATCACCACGACCCGCAACATGTCCGTGTTATCACCACGACCCACAACATGTCAGTGTTATCACCACGACCCGCAACATGTCAGTGTTATCACTGCGGCTCCCAACACATCAGTGTTATCACCACGACTCCATGCAAGGAAGTGTTATCACCACGACCCGCATCATGTGAGTGCTACCACCACGATCCAACATGTCAGTGTTATCACAACGACCCGCAACATGTCAGTGTTATCACCTAGATCCGCAACATGTCAGTGTTATCACCTCGACTCACAACAAGTAAGTGTTATCACCTTGACCCGCAACATGTCAGCGTTATCACCACGACCCGCAACATGTCAGTGTTACCACCAGAACCCGCAACATGTCATTGTTATCACCACGACCCGCAACATGTCAGTGTTACCACCACAACCCGCAACATGTCAGTGTTATCACCACAACCTGCAACATGTCAGTGTTATCACCAATGCTCCCAACAAGTAAGTGTTATCACCATGACCCGCAACATGTCAGTGTTATCACCACGACCCGCAACATGGCAGTGTTATCACCACGACCCGCAACATGGCAGTGTTATCACCACGACCCGCAACATGTCCGTGTTATCACCACGACCCACAACATGTCAGTGTTATCACCACGACCCGCAACATGTCAGTGTTATCACTGCGGCTCCCAACACATCAGTGTTATCACCACGACTCCATGCAAGGAAGTGTTATCACCACGACCCGCATCATGTGAGTGCTACCACCACGATCCAACATGTCAGTGTTATCACAACGACCCGCAACATGTCAGTGTTATCACCTAGATCCGCAACATGTCAATGTTATCACCTCGACTCACAACAAGTAAGTGTTATCACCTGGACCCGCAACATGTCAGCGTTATCACCACGACCCGCAACATGTCAGTGTTATCACCACGACCCGCAACATGTCAATGTTACCACCAGAACCCGCAACATGTCATTGTTATCACCACGACCCGCAACATGTCAGTGTTATCACCACGACCCGCAACATGGCAGTGTTATCACCACGACCCGCAACATGGCAGTGTTATCACCACAACTCCTTACAAGTAAATGTTATCACCACGACCCGCAACATGTCAGTGTTATCACCACGACTCCCTACAAGTAAATGCGGCTCCCAACACATCAGTGTTATCCCCAAGACTCCCTACAAGTAAGTGTTATCACCACGACCCACAACATGCCAGTGTTATCACCACGATCCAACATGTCAGGGTTAACACCACGACCCGCAACATGTCAGTGTTATCACCACGACCCGCAACATGTCAGTGTTATCACTGCGGCTCCCAACGCATCAGTGTTATCACCACGACTCCATGCAAGGAAGTGTTATCACCACGACCCGCATCATGTGAGTGCTACCACCACGATCCAACATGTCAGTGTTATCACAACGACCCGCAACATTCCAGTGTTATCACCACGATCCAACAAGTCAGTGTTACCACTACAACCCGCAGCATGTCAGTGTTATCACCACGACCCGCAATATGTCAGTGTTATCACCACGACCAGCAACTTGTCAGTGTTACCACCATAACCCGCAATATGTCAGTTTTATCACCACTACCCGCAATATGTCAGTGTTATCACCACGACCCGCAACATGTCCGTGTTATCACCACGACCCGCAACATGTCAGTGTTATCACCACGACCCTCAGCTTGTCAGTGTTATTACCACGACCCGTAACATGTCAGTGTCATCACCACGTTTCCCAACACATCAGTGTTATCGACACGATCCGAAACGTGTCAGTGTTATCACCATGACCCGCAACGTGTCACTGGTATCACCACGACCCGCACCATGTCAGTATGATCACCTCAGCCTGCAACATGTCAGTGTTATCACCATGACCCACAACATGTCAGTGTTATCACCACGACCCGCAACATGTCAGTGTTATCACCACGACCCGCAACATGTCAGTGTTACCACCACGACCCGCAACATGTCAGAGTTACCACCACAACCCGCAACATGTCAGTGTTACCACCACGACCCGCAACATGTAAATGTTGTCAGCACAACCCGCAACACATCAGTGTTAACACCACGACCCGCAACATGTCAGTGTTATCACCACGTCCTGCAACATATCAGTGTTATGACCACGACTCCCAACTTAACCTTGTTTCGCGAGCAATTTTGACACCAATAAGCATTGTCTATTCCTTTGAGTTATTCCTTCATGGGTCTACAGTTCCGGGTTAGAATATTGATGGGGCGGTGGGGTAGCCTAGTGGTTAAAGCGTTGGCTCGTCACGCCGAAGGCCCGGGTTCGATTCCCCACATGGGCACAATATGTTAAGCCCATTTCTGGTGTCCCCCGCCGTGATATTGCTGGAAAATTGCTAAAAGCGGCGTAAAACTAAACTCAGTCAGTCAGTCAGTAGAATATTGATCTTCAGCAACCCATGCCTGTCGTAAAATTCGACTACCGGGTTCGGGTGGTCATTCTCGCTGACCTGGTTGACACATGTCTTCGTATCCCTATTGCGTAAATTGATGATCATACTGTTGATCATTGGATTGTCTGGTCCAGACTAGATTATTTACAGACAGCTATGTAGGTTGAACATTGATGAGCGCGGCGTAAAACAACACACAAATATATGTCTACTACAGTGTCTATTTGGACTTAAACAGCATGGGGAGGTGTTTCACATTATGAGCAATCAGTAGATCGCCATGCAGACACAGGTGGGTGTTGTCTTACCTTAGGGTTACATATGACATCTGCCCACGTCACGTTTTCAGATGTTTTGAGTTCCAGTGCATCAGAACCTACTTTCTTAAGGTGATCAAACCTATACTGGCAAAGAACGGATCCTAGGGAGGGATCTTTCACAAATTCAGTTCCGTTAGCGTTCCTTCCAAAACTCACAGTTATGGAGCTTCCGGTATCCGCCATAGCCAGGCCAAGGTTGAATGTGGTGTGGTCCATGGTTCTACAAGACAGTAACATGTCCACTACAGGCAACAAAGAACTGTCACTTGTGCAAAACATGATGAGTCGGGTTGAGACATTTGACGTTTCATTCTGGGTTGTAAGCAAATATGTGAAATTCTCCTTGGTGAATCCTGATATGAACTTTAAATCGTATTTTCCTGTTGTTCTGGATGTGACAGACTGATTGTTACTGATGTTCATGCTGGGTGTGCCTTGTTCTGGGAGAGACAGACGTCGGTACGACAGCACGGGGACGGGCGACGTGGATGTACCAGTAATTGATGACGCTACTATCACTGTTACATTGCCAAGAAACAGCAGAACGGAACGGCTGTTGATGTAGCTGTCGTTAGTTCCATTGTTCATCCACTGCCTCTGAGTGATATTCAACGTATTGTACACAGCACAGAGACCGTCACGAGCTGTGGAGCACGCGAGCAGACGAGGTGAGCCAGGATGTAACGCCATCGCCATGACAGCATCACGGTCTCTTTCACCACCGCCCCAGCCAACACAGCTTATGAAAGTGAGATTTTCCGACCAGTGACTTATGCCCTTATCTCCAGCCGTATACACGTGTCCCGTCTTGGGATCTCTGATCACGTCATCTATACTGTCGTTCCAGAAGGGACATAATCCAGCTGCTATTGATAGGGAAAACACAGAAACAAGTAGACTGAAACCGCTCTCCCTGCAGTACACCATGCTTGTCTCTGACAAATTGGACACTATTAAGACGCAATTACTCACAGTCAGTTCGCCATTATCACATTATCTGGTGTTCTTAAATCTAAAAAGCAACGGTTTGTACGACCCAGCGCTTCATTACGAATCCGAAGGAGCTTCTCATGTAGTGGTTCCAATAAGTCGAGATGCTGACTGACGAAAGTGTGGTAGAGTTCTATCTCAGCCCCGCAATCATGTCCATAATAGTTCCTCTTCGGTGAAGTCACAAACACTGTATACGCCCGGTGTCAGAGGTCAGATTTAAGCCATCAGTGCTACGGCTGCGTGAATGTTACTTCCTTGTACACAGCTGTGCATTTCACCGGAAACACTCCTACTGTGACAGTCTCTCTTCCTCTGTCATTGATACTAGTCAGCTGAAAGCCAAACCACGGAAGGCGAGCGATGCCGCGGTTTAGTATTAACACCATCGTTACGACTAGCGTGGCCTGAATGAATACTTGAGTAATAGAGTTGTGTTACATACCCTGCATACTTTTCTTGCAAAAGGTTAAACAGTATGGTCGGATTTGGTCTTCACAGCTGATCGTCCATGTTGATTTTCTAGGATGAAACCGCCTCCGCGGTCTAGTGGTTAGAGCGTTCGCCCGGAGAGCGGAAGGTCGCGGGTTCGATCCCCGACCGCGTCATACCAAAAGACGTTAAAATATTGTACTTGTTAGTCCCTGCCTGGCGCTCGGCATTACTGGGTACAACAAGGACTGGTCGGCTCGGAGTCAGTATAATGTGTCTGAGTGGGGTTTTCATGTTTCACTGCGGCATGGTATCTCAGTGGCCTAGCACTATAAAACCAGCTTCAGTTTGGGCTAGTACAAGCAGCCGCACATACACATGCACACGCATGCACGTCGTCATATGAGCGAAATATGCTCAAGCACGAAGTTAAACCAAATTTCACCTCACCTCCATGATGATCTTCCAAGCTTCTCTTGACAGTTGATGTTCATCGCTTCACAGCTGGACTTAACGGTTAATCCTTTCCAGCAAATCTTTACAGCTAATCTTGACAGTTGGTGTTCATCGCTTCACAGCTGGACTTAACGGTTGATCCTTTCCAGCTAATCTTTACAACTGATCTTGACAGTTAGTGTTTGCTGTTGGTCTTAACGGTTGATCCTTCCCAGCTAATCTTTACAGCTAATCTTGACAGTTGGTGTTCATCGCTTCACAGCTGGACTTAACGGTTGATCCTTTCCAGCTAATCTTTACAGCTGATCTTGACAGTTAGTGGTTGCTGCTGGTTTAACGGTTGATCCTTTCCAGCTAATCTTTACAGCTGATGTTGATAGTTAGTGTTCACAGCTGGTCTTAACCGCTAGTCTTGACGGCTGATCCTCCCCGCTGATCGTCCAGTTACTCTTTCAAGGTAGTATTCTTCGGCCGACTACCAAACCTAAAACAACGAGTAGATTCTCTCCGAACGCGTCTTTGAGTCAGCTGTAAACAACTTAACCTTTATTACACTGACCTGCCCATATTATCACCAAATTATAGAAGATAATATTAGGGACATGTGTAAACCCAGTCAGCGACCTTGACCACAACATCCCTTTAGTCGAATCTTACGACAAGCATGGGTTACTGAAGATCAATATTCTAAAAGGTACCTTCACGGTCACACGTAGTATGTAACAGTAGGGTCAACACGTAGTATGTAACAGTAGGGTCAACAGGTAGTATGTAATAGTAGGGTAAACACGTAGTATGTAACAGTAGGGTCAACACGTAGTATGTAACAGTAGGGTCAACACGTAGTATGTAACAGTAGGGTAAACACGTAGTATGTAACAGTAGGGTCAACACGTAGTATGTAACAGTAGGGTCAACACGTAGTGTGTAACGGTAGGGTCAACACGTAGTATGTAACAGTAGGGTCAACACGTAGTATGTAACAGTAGGGTCAACACGTAGTATGTAACGGTAGGGTCAACACGTAGTGTGTAACAGTAGGGTCAACACGTAGTGTGTAACAGTAGGGTAAACACGTAGTATGTAACAGTAGGGTCAACACGTAGTATGTAACAGTAGGGTCAACACGTAGTGTGTAACGGTAGGGTCAACACGTAGTGTGTAACAGTAGTGTCAACACGTAGTGTGTAACAGTAGGGTAAACACGTAGTGTGTAACAGTAGGGTCAACACGTAGTGTGTAACAGTAGGGTAAACACGTAGTATGTAACAGTAGGGTCAACAAGTAGTATGTAACGGTAGTGTCAACACGTAGTATGTAACAGTAGGGTCAACACGTAGTGTGTAACGGTAGGGTCAACACGTAGTATGTAACAGTAGGGTCAACACGTAGTATGTAACGGTAGGGTCAACACGTAGTGTGTAACAGTAGGGTCAACACGTAGTGTGTAACAGTAGTGTCAACACGTAGTGTGTAACGGTAGTGTCAACACGTAGTGTGTAACAGTAGGGTAAACACGTAGTATGTAACAGTAGGGTCAACACGTAGTATGTAACAGTAGGGTCAACACGTAGTATGTAACAGTAGGGTCAACACGTAGTATGTAACAGTAGGGTCAACACGTAGTATGTAACAGTAGGGTCAACACGTAGTATGTAACAGTAGGGTCAACACGTAGTATGTAACAGTAGTGTCAACACGTAGTATGTAACGGTAGGGTCAACACGTAGTGTGTAATAGTAGGGTAAACACGTAGTATGTAACAGTAGGGTCAACACGTAGTATGTAACAGTAGGGTCAACACGTAGTATGTAACAGTAGGGTCAACACGTAGTATGTAACAGTAGGGTCAACACGTAGTATGTAACAGTAGGGTCAACACGTAGTATGTAACAGTAGTGTCAACACGTAGTATGTAACGGTAGGGTCAACACGTAGTGTGTAATAGTAGGGTAAACACGTAGTATGTAACAGTAGGGTCAACACGTAGTGTGTAATAGTAGGGTAAACACGTAGTATGTAACGGTAGTGTCAACACGTAGTATGTAACAGTAGGGTCAACACGTAGTATGTAACAGTAGGGTCAACACGTAGTATGTAACGGTAGGGTCAACACGTAGTGTGTAACAGTAGTGTCAACACGTAGTGTGTAACGGTAGGGTCAACACGTAGTATGTAACAGTAGGGTCAACACGTAGTGTGTAACAGTAGGTCAACACGTAGTGTGTAACGGTAGAGTCAGCACGTAGTGTGTAACGGTAGGATCAACACGTAGTGTGTAACAGTAGAGATCAACACGTAGTGTGTAACAGTAGGGTCAACACGTAGTGTGTAACAGTAGAGGTCAACACGTAGTGTGTAACAGTAGTAAGTCAACACGTAGTGTGTAACAGTAGAGTCAACACGTAGTGTGTAACAGTAGAGGTCAACACGTAGTGTGTAACAGTAGAGGTAAACACGTAGTATGTAACAGTAGGGTCAACACGTAGTATGTAACAGTAGGGTCAACACGTAGTGTGTAACAGTAGAGTCAACACGTAGTGTGTAACAGTAGAGGTCAACACGTAGTGTGTAACAGTAGAGGTCAACACGTGGTGTGTAACAGTAGGGTCAACACGTAGTGTGTGTAACAGTAGGGTCACACGTAGTGTGTAACAGTAGGGTCAACACGTAGTGTGTAACAGTAGGGTCAACACGTAGTGTGTAACAGTAGGGTCAACACGTGTGTAACGGTAGGGTCAACACGTAGTGTGTAACAGTAGAAGTCAACACGTAGTAGTATGTAACAGTAGGGTCAACACGTAGTATGTAACAGTAGGGTCAACACGTAGTATGTAACGGTAGGGTCAACACGTAGTGTGTAACACTAGGGTCAACACGTAGTGTGTAACAGTAGTGTCAACACGTAGTGTGTAACGGTAGTGTCAACACGTAGTGTGTAACAGTAGGTAAACACGTAGTATGTAACAGTAGGGTCAACACGTAGTATGTAACAGTAGGGTCAACACGTAGTATGTAACAGTAGTGTCAACACGTAGTATGTAACGGTAGGGTCAACACGTAGTGTGTAATAGTAGGAGTAAACACGTGGTATGTAACAGTAGAGGTCAACACGTAGTGTGTAACAGTAAGTCAACACGTAGTATGTAACTGTAGGGTCAACACGTAGTGTGTAACAGTAGAGATAAACACGTAGTATGTAACAGTAGAGGGTCACACGTAGTATGTAACAGTAGGGTCAACACGTAGTGTGTAACAGTAGAGATCAACACGTAGTGTGTAACAGTAGGAGTCAACACGTAGTGTGTAACAGTAGGGTCAACACGTAGTGTGTAACAGTAGAGGTCAACACGTAGTGTGTAATAGTAGGTAACACGTAGTATGTAATAGTAGGGTAAACACGTAGTATGTAACAGTAGGGTCAACACGTAGTGTGTAACAGTAGGGTCAACACGTAGTATGTAACAGTAGGGTCAACACGTAGTATGTAACAGTAGGGTCAACACGTAGTGTGTAACAGTAGAGGTCAACACGTAGTGTGTAACAGTAGTCATCAAACATGTGGTGTGTAATAGTAGAGGTAAACACGTGGTATGTAACAGTAGGGTCAACACGTAGTGTGTAACAGTAGATGTCAACACGTAGTGTGTAACAGTAGGGTCAACACGTAGTGTGTAACAGTAGGGTCAACACGTAGTGTGTAACAGTAGGGTCAACACGTAGTATATAACAGTAGTGTCAACACGTAGTATGTAACGGTAGGGTCAACACGTAGTATATAACAGTAGGGTCAACACGTAGTATGTAACAGTAGGGTAAACACGTAGTATGTAACAGTAGGGTCAACACGTAGTATGTAACAGTAGGGTCAACACGTAGTGTGTAACAGTAGTGTCAACACGTAGTATGTAACAGTAGTGTCAACACGTAGTATGTAACGGTAGGGTCAACACGTAGTATATAACAGTAGGGTCAACACGTAGTATGTAACAGTAGTGTCAACACGTAGTATGTAACGGTAGGGTCAACACGTAGTATATAACAGTAGGGTCAACACGTAGTATGTAACAGTAGTGTCAACAAGTAGCATGTAAAAAATAGCGTTAACACGTAGTATGTTAAAAATTGGGTCAACACGTAGTATGTATTTGGAGGGTCAACACGTAGTATGTAATAGTGGGGTCAACACGTTGCATCTAATTCTAGGGTCAACACGAATGGAAAATACTAAACTGACGAGCAAAGAAAGTACACAGGTGTAATTGTTGTTGCAATCCCAAATATGCGTTCTAACTAATAAAATTATTGAAAAACATTGATTGTATAGAACGCAACCATCATGTTTCATTTGCCAAAATG